GCTTGGAACAGGCATGTGAATGAACAGGGGGCAGGGCTATACTACAATATAGCAACTATTTGTGACCTCCCTCTGGATCAAGGTTGATTAACAACCCACTACACGCAATTTTTATGAATGAAATTATAAATTCTTTTACATTCAGGACCGTGCGCTCCACAGAGAACCGAGAAGAAGACGAATGTCTATTCTAAACATTTGAAGGTAACTAAAATACATTGGCTATCTAAATTACCCTTCAAAAACCGAGTCATCTCGTCTTATAGTAAGTGTTCTAAATCTAATCTTTCCGTCCTTTTGACTAGTTTCTTTAATACAAATAAAAAATTGTTATTCATCATAAATAATGGAATTAATTATTTTTGGAGTGTAACGATATCTTTGGATATTTTAGACGAATAACGTGTTTGTGATATTCCTTTCAATTTGGGTTGACAGTTATGACTTCTCTATGCTACACGTCCACACAGTCTTATACTCTACACAAAACTACGACAAAACAGACGATGTTTCGTTCCCTATTGCTATTTTTTTTCCTTTGGACAGCGATATAAAAATAAGGAAATGCTCCTTTGTTCCATTCATACGATGTGCATATTTCCCAACTCTTTCACTATGCCCGTGTCTGTAGACTACTAGTGACGTTTTCATTTCAATTAAAGTAATTTATGTATAACTGTATAATTATTGTTTCTGGGACTCTTTACCATAAATTAATTAGAACCTTAAATCAATTCTGTCATAGTTACAAACATTTGATTTGGAAGTTTAGCTGTACCTGTATATACCTTATTATAAACAGCATATCACATTCTAATGTTTACGTTTATGTTGTTTAGGTAACGCCCGTAAATTTAGTCACAATCCATGTAAACTTAGTTATTGATTCTTCGAATAAACTTATAATTAAAGGTTATTAATATAACACTGTAGGAAGATCTTTGAATATTGTGTTTATAGGATGGAAAACTGATTTTTATTTCATTAAACTGAACCACAACTAAATGTGTATTGTAATACAAAACTTATGGTCCTACATCGTGTCAATGCTGATAGTGTTCAAATGCACATGGTATCGATTTTCTCGGACTATTTATGACTTCTGTGTACTAAATATCCGATGGATGTGTACTGTTTGATATTTTGGTCGAAAATGCCTTTGAAATAGCTTCTAGTAAATGCAAGTCCTGCCTCTTAGATAGGTACTCTGTGTTTGGTGTCGTTCTGTTACATACGTTTCTTTTTGCTGTGCTTCGTGACGATTTGATTATTCAGGTCAAGCCCATTTCAAACGATTTTTATTTTTACAGTTTATGTTTTGTTGTGATGTTAGACCACTGTCCCAGGTTAGGAGGAGGATTGAGCGCTCACAAACAAATTAAACCTAATCACATTCTTTATACGTCTTTCTCAAACCTGGAGCCTGTTTTTCAGTGATTGTCGTTGGTTGCTGTGTTAATTTTTGGTTGGTTATTTTTTGGAGGTTGGGGTTTGCTTATTTTTTTTTACTACAAATCAATCCAGGCTGTTCTTGTTCTCTTTTCAATAGTACACATGTTTTCAAGCCGGAGCCTTTTATAATAGCTTACTACACAGTATGTGTTTTACTCACTACTGGAGACTGTAAGGTGACCTTTCATAGTGGTTTACACCCTCGTCCTTTGGTTTCTGGTGGATATTTGTCATTGTCACTCATACCACATCTATTTATTTTTACACTGTACAGGAAAATTCAGCACGAGAAAAAATACCTATATTACTATAATACCGGTGTGAAAGATAACAAATTTATAGATATAAGTAAAACAAAAATTAACTACGTATCGTATAAAAGAATGGTCGTGCTTTAATGAAAGTATAAAAATTCAAACAAAATTGCATTTTCTACCAGTGTTTTAAAACCAAATCGGTCTGCTATCTAAGCTCCAACACGTTACTTCTTTTTTTTTCATTATATTAGGGTCACGTATACGTAATCTTATTGATACATATTTTTTTCGCAATTTATGTTAAAAATGCTGTTTCTGCCCAGTAGCTTAAGTGAATGTTGAACGGTAGAAAAAAAGAACAAATATGCTGCATGACACGTCGCCCAGGATAAAACCGTGTCAAATGGATGTTGTCAAGGACACATAATAAATTATCACCAGTTTTAATACTAATGATCCTTTTAACAATAAATTTCTCTATAAACACTTTAACCAGCCTGGCCATTCCATTTTTTCGATGAAAGTTATGATTATAAAGAAAATATATCGTTCAACAAATGACCCCATATTGAGTACAAAATATAGCTCAGCGGGTTTTGGTGAGGTTCGTGTTGCTAAATCTTTAGTTTTCTATGGAGCGTTTTGTGGACTTGATCGTCTGTTCGTCGTTTTTCGTTTTTTGAATTGGCGTTTTTGAATTTTCTCATTGTTGAAGGCCGTACGGTTGCTTATAGTTGGCAATCATACCACATCTCCTTATTTATATATTGTCAGTTTTTCTTCGACTTATGAGTTTTGAAAGTCCCCTTAGTATCTTCCGACTTTTTCTGACAAAGGGAATATTTTGGATTCGAAAATTAAGAACAGCCATTCCTTATGAATACAACAAGATTAATGGTGTAGATATATTGTCTAGTCCCAGGTTTAGAAGAAATATCACCGGGTACCACATCAGAATTATTTAACACTTCTGTAAAAGCAATAGGTTTCCCGGTCACCAAAAATATACCTTACTGTTCGGTGTGAGCCAAGGCTCCGTGTTGAAGACCGTACTGTGACCTATAATGGTTTACTTTTATAAATTTTGACTTGGATGGAGAGTTGTCTCATTGGCACTCATACCACATCTTCTTATATCTACTTACTGTTCACCGTGTTCATGGATGGTGGGTTTTCTTCAGTTCAAAAACCTTAGGAAATTTACTATATTCTAACTAAACTGTTCTGTTTACTATACCAAAGCTCAGTTCACTACAGACACTACAATTTATTAAAAGAGGCCACACTTCAGATATTGACTCAAAAAAAGTACAAGATTGGTTGTAATGGTTGTGGATATTGCTAACCACAGGATTTTCAAACCCGTGACAACTGCTTCCATAAATGTAAAATTTTCTACTAAGGGTTTAGATAGTATCAACAGAAGCAATAATTTCCATAAAAAATAGGTGCAGAAAACAAATATATATGTAGGACTCAAATCTATGACAGATTCCTAATCTACGGCAAATGCAATGTGACGTTACAAAAGCCAGACAAATCAGATCTATGGCAGATTTTTGTTTTCTCCTAATCTATGGCATATCTTGAAATTGCATAATTTTCCGGGAAAAGGAGTGACATATAACGTCACAATATGAATAACGCCATATTACATCATCGCCGCCACTAAGGGAACGACCATTTTAGACTGGTTCCCGATCGCAATATTCAGTATGTTACACATATACCAATATAATCTCGTGACAGCGTATGGCTATCAGCTAAAACCTGGAACGTAGTACCGGGAACCAGGATACGACCATTTCAAGTTCAAAAAAGGGGGGTGGTATGTTTTTTTCCTAAAAAAAAATATTCTGATCCCCAATTTGATGGAAAAAAAAATATTCTGATCAAACAGATGACCCAAAAAAATATTCTGAATCTACATTTTCCCCATACCTTATAGTGTTAAATTTTGAAAAAAAATTGATTGATATAGCTTCAAAACACTAAATAAAAAAATTTCTGACTCAGAAAAATCACCATAACCCCCCTTGAAGTAAAATGCTTGCTCCCTATAACGATGGCGGAACACATAGATTTGAATACCATTCCAGATGAAGGTAAAGATATTTCCCTCTACAACAATTTGCACATGGTTTGTGACAAGATGTGACCTATTATCCGGAAGAGGGACAAAATGTGCTGTACCGGCCGAATCCCGCTATTAATAAGGGCACCGCTGTTTTCGGTGCCTGAAATTTTAGAAAAAGGAGTTATAGTAAATATTTTAGCGTCTACAGCTAGCAAAGTTGATAAAAGTGAAAAATCAAATTGCTGGATAATAATTTGATTTAAATCGTCATCAAATAAAAAAGATGTTTTAATGATGAAATAAATATTATGTGAAAAGTCAAACTGTTCATTTTTTTTATGAAAATAACTGTGTTCGTTGTTTGTTAAAAGACTTACTATAAGTTGGTTTAACTTGAATGGGTTAAACAGGTACCATGCACAGATTAATACATGCTTATTTTTATGTATTAAGGTATATGATTTCACCGTTTACAATATTTTATGGTTGCTATCACGATTTGGTTGACCATTATGGAATGTTTATCACAAAAGTTTATAGACATACTCCCGTTGTTGTACATTTCAACTTGTTTAAGACAAGTCATTGGTCGTATATGTACTGCATTGTTTTTCATTTGCATAAATCTGCCATAGATTTGGAAACAACAAAAATCCGCCATAGATTAGGAAATTACAAAACTTGCCATAGATTAGGATTGTAACAAATCTGCCATAGATTTGGGATGACATGACGTCATATTTGCCATAGATTAGGGATCTGCCATAGATCTGGAACCCACCATAGATTTGAGTCCTACATATATACATGATTTTACTTCAAAGATAAAACTACACCTTTCATTTCATATTTCTACACCAAAACTATTGCGTCCAAGATGTTTAACCACAAGAGGGTAATCAGATACATGTACCTTGATCATCAAGGATGTAAAATCATAATAGTAGAAAACCGTTACCCTGTCGACGCACCCGATCTCGCACCTTTAGACGATCATGCGACTCCATCAGTTTGTGTTTGCTACCTTTGTTTGTCTTCTGAATCGATTTATGAGATGTGAACAGCAGTAAACTACAGTTGTAATTAATCTGTATTGTGTGAATACAGTATTATAAAGATCATCATGATGAAATCCTTGGGAAGACGAAACCAGAGTAAACTTACTACCATAGCATACATGTGCTATGTATACAATATTAAAAGATAAATGGAAACTCTTTAAAACTAAATTTTATTCATGATTAACTAATACACAGCAACAATGTAAACATAATATATCAGAATTAATAAAAAAACATATATATACACTTATACGCCTGTCTAATATTTTATCTCGGTAATTCTGTCCTTTAGTTTAAATCTTCCATAATAGTTTTATTACAAATTAAAGAATTTTCTTAATATGAAAACTTATAAATATCAATACTAATAAATAAGCAAAGAAATGCGTTTCAAAACATTCGTATCTTCAAAATATTGAAATGCAATAAAAACAGTTGCTTTTCAATCGCCGACGATTCCAAGTGTTCAAGATCAAACAATTATCTATTTCAGCATAAATAAAAAATGTAACGGAAATTTCTAATGCATCCTTTCAAGGTGTTTATGACATTTGATGATACATTAAATGCTAACCTTTTAGTCGTGGACGATAGAATATCGATAATTAATATATATAAGACATGTTTAAAATATGTAAAACTAAAAAGATTCGCTGGATTATAATGATGATTTTAACATGTATACATACTTTTTTTTATGGGAACCAAATATATGCGATCTCCAATTAGTTCATTTTATTAAAGCTACGAGTACATAATCTCCATTATCCATATATAATTTACAATGAGCGTAACACTACCTCACAACGTTGCAAAAATAATTACTTACATTTTAAATAGTATTTTAAATTGTTACAGCTCTTCCTGAAATTGTAATATTTAATTCCGCAGTAAGGTCTTTTGTTTAACAATTGCAAAAATGAATGCACGCATTGATACCGGTATTAACAGTATATTAGATTTAACTTTCCCAATCAGGCCAGAAGTAATCTCGTACTTCTACATCAAACACACCCAAACTGACGAATAAGTCAAGGTTACTATATATTTTACGCTGGTATAACAAAAGAGATAACAGAAATTGACCAAAATGCCGTACAGTAAAACACATCCATCAACTATCTATACCCGATTCCTCAGAAAAGTTCAAAGTGAAAGTAAAGAATAAAATTGAGAATGAAAATGGGGAATGTGTCAAAGAGACAACAACCCGACCAAAGAGCAGAAAACAGCCCAAGGCCACCAATGGGTCTTCAACACAGCGAGAAAATACCGCACCCGGAGGCGGGCTTCGGCTGGCCCCTAAACAAAAATATGTACTAGTTCAGTGAAAATGGACGTCACACTAAACTCCGAAACATTTAAATGAACTAGACTATCGAAATGTCATAAAACAAAAATATTGTCTCTAGTCGTGCAAACAATATCAATGGCAAGATATTTTTCATATATCACATATATAATACTTTATAAGATAACATTTTGATTAATATCTTTAGAAGAATTCTATTTTATCAAATGTACATTTAGTATTAACTTGTAATACATATAATACAGGACCTGGCACACATCAAAATGCATTGATGTTGTTTAGTATGGTCCTATGTTTTCATGTAAGTCCACATACTAACTCCTTTTATAGTTTTTCAATTTATCAATACCCAAACCCTATTCCGTGTATGGTGGGGGATCTTTTACATAGGGTGGGCTTTCTGGAACTGCTATTTCTATAGATCCATCTGGAGATATTGCTACTCTGCATGGGATGTCATTATACTGTGGTGGTCTGTCTCGGAGGGTTTCAGATATAGTCCGTATTCGCCGAGCTGCAATAGATAATGTCGGGTAATAGTCTTATATGAAGAATGTGAATAAAACACATACCAGTTCATGCACGTGTTAGCGCTAATGATAAAGCATATTCCCCAAAACTGTCTATCGCATAGGAACTTCAGCGAAGCACATAACGCTTAAAATGGATTTTGAAATATATTTTTACAAAATAACCAAATTAACGAAAATAATCATTTTAGAATATAGTTACAATGTTGCTGTATATCATTTTGTATTTCGTTCATTGTTTTCTTACATAAATAAGGTCGTTAGTCTTTTCGTTTCAATTGTTTTACATTTGTCATTTCGGGGCCTTTTATAGCTTATAATGCGGTATGGCTTTTGCTCATTGTTGAAGGCCGAACGATGATCTATAGTTGTTAACTTCTATGTCATTTTGTCTCTGATTGAGAGTTGTCTCATTGTCAGTCATACCATATCTTCTTATTTTTATATTAACACAACAACTAAGAAAGCTGTGGAAAACTGAAATGGTATTGTTCCCTGTATCTCCTGTAACTTTTGGCTCGTGTATGTACGCCTACCACAAAGCCATTTTTCACTCTTGACAAACACTAACAGGGGAGATTATCCTCCGTTATGAATATTTTAAGTATTTTTAAAAGTATATTACAGTATTTAGTGAAATGCTTCTCCACACAGTAACAAAGTTGTGGGAAATATTTGGATTGAATAGTTCTTTGTGTACACTGTACCAGTCATAAGAAACCATGAACAGTTGTGATTTGATCGTTCTATAATCACACTGTAACAGTAATTAGAGATATTTTTCAATAAGGGCATGGTAATGTATGTACAACCTTTACAGTGAAGTGAATATTGAATTTTTCTCTTGATTTATTTGTAGTTATGCTTTTTACAGATTTATCATGTATTAATGTTTTATACTAGATTATCGATTGATTGTTGATAAATATATAGTTTGTTTGCTTAACATCCCGTTAAAAAATATTTTGTGCATTTTCAGGACGAGAATAAATTGAACAATACATCACAAAGCTATGTCTTCAAAATGAGTCGACAAGGATGAACGATGGAATATGTGGGCTGTCACGCGAAAGAAAGGGTATGTTGGATGTGGGCAGAAATTTCACTTTACAATATACCTCTTACGGACTCCTCAAATATTTTTTGCAAGGTTTCTGTCTTGTGCAGATAGCGTTGCACTCCAGCTATACGAGACTTCGGGTATAACGCTCCATTCATATGCGTATTTATACATCCCACATAGCCAAACGGATGCTCCTTCGTGGTTTTTTTTAAAGTATCTGTGTTGTGCTCTTCGTACATTTTTATTTTTTTAATTCGAGCATCACTGATGAGTCTTTTGTAGGCGAAACGCTCGTCTTGAGTACAACATTTTAAGTCTGGTATCTAGGATGAGTTTATTAAGATGTATTTGACCTTATGCATTCTTAGAATTATAAATCACTTACCATTTTGAAAGTTTTTAGCAGACAGTCTCCGTAAGTAACAAAATTTTACAAGAACTACTCCCACCAATATGAAAATGGATACACAGATGACCGATGAAATTGCAAACTGTGTACTGAAAGTCAAATATTGACAAATATACAAATTGACATTTTATTTGGATTTGTGATGTAATGGCATATTTGGTGAAAGTCAAATATGGACAAATAGACAAATAGACATTTTATTACAAGTTATATTTTTCTGTTAATGTGAACATACAAATATACATATATATTTAATTTCACTTAATTTAATAAAAATTGACTTTATGAGTAACCTAGGTTTTACAATTTATGAGGATGAAAAACAGTATCACTTAGGTGAATAATGAAAAATAATTCTTCATAAACAATTTCAAAATAGAACTGATTGATTGATGAATTATTGTTTGCGTAACGTCCAATTCGATATATTCCAATCGTTTTCATTACTCTTAAAACAAATCATTAATAAATACGATAGGTTTACGTTTTGTAAAGTATGTAAACGGGATGAATGACGGAAAATTTAGATTGCCACCGAAAAAGGGGGTATGCTTGATGTGGCATAATTATACCTTACGACATACCACTTTAAAGGTATTTTACAAGGCAGCTGTTACACGAAGACAGCATGGCTATATTTCCCTACACGATGAACCAGATTAATCGTCTGCATTCCGACAGGGTATGTCTGCATATTTATACATCTCGCCGCACCATACAGACGATCCTCTTTAGTATAGATTTTACTGTCAGATTGGAGAAGTCCAAGTGAACCAATTTCTATACCCCAGTTTTCTACGAGTATGATAATAGAAAATGTGCAATAAAAGTGGGTGTGCACACGTTTCGCGATGTATAAAGGTTGCAGAGGTTGCTCTTCTAACAAAAATCTGACGGATAAACAATCTGTAAAGATTTAAGACTGTATGAGAAGTATATTACAAACAGTTTGTCCCTTCTGCAAAACATTTTGCCTAAAAAATGACAAAGTTTCCAAGTTAATTAATATTACACTACAACAATTTAACGGGATATCAGCGCAATATATTATGCATCCCTACTTCAGGTAGCATTGACATTGGTCCTAGGACCTTGAAATGTAACCTTTTTCACCTCAACAACGAATCATTGTTAAACACTGCTCAAATTGGAAAACCCATCGAGATGATGATAATGATGAATGGCTGTTCAACGTCCAGTGGCAAATTAAATGAATACTCAGAACGATGTCATGATAATGTGATATAATTACAATGTACATTACATGTATGTTTCATTATAATACGTTATTTTGATTGGCTAACATCAATCTCGCGTCATTCTGAAATCAACCTTCATTTCAAAATGAATGTAACATTCATGATCACACGAGCTTCCACAATAACGTGCACAGGTAAATAAAAGAAAAGCTTGATAGAAATCGTGCGCACATTTTTAGAATGAAGCGCTCCCGTGCTTCATATAAAATGTACTTCGGTCAACGCTTTTACACCCTTATGAATTTACAAAAAGAAGCATTCAATTCTTAAATGAATATAAACCCTGCTTTGTACTTATTAGCCGACACGCTGAACAAGGGATTTTGACGTGCTAGTCAAATATGCAGGATGATATGTCACCCTACCTTGACACATTATTCTGACTCCGAGCAGACCATCCATCGAGACCACAAGATGTTTCTGACATACTTGTTACTATATCCTGTTATGTTGATTCGGACACCAATGCCAGTTAAAATGTAAATAACACTTTATAAAGTTGGTGCGTCCTAAGCCCTTTACTGGATTTACCTTCATCTCATTACTCAAAGCCGGATATTTGAAATCCAAGGAAATATAACTACTTGAATACATTAGGAGCTTTATGACCGAAAAGGATCTAAAATAGTAAAATTTACCTAAGGTCAATCATGTCTGAAGGAGTTGAAACTTCTTTACAATTTCATCAATTTATCAACGGAGAATTTATGAAAGGTATGAACAGGAAGGCAAACACAAGGTATTTGAAACAGATGATTCAATTATCAATTACTTACTCGTTGTTTTCGTCTTGTTTAGGCCCGAAATCATCAGGTTTTAAGGTTGAGTCTAGTTTTATCGTAGTTTCTGGTTCATAAGTTGACATAATCGGTTTTTCATAATGATACACCCTGGTTATCAATCACTGGAATGACCCTAGGAAAAGAAGTGGTACACATATAGTATCATAGCAACGATGGTTCTCCTATACGAAATGAATTAACTAGCACCCCTAGAAATGGATGGGGTAAATATTAAGAATCATACGTAGAAACTATAACAAGCTTTCAAATTACTTCCAAAAAAATATTATAACAATCTAAGAAAAAATGGAAAAACATGCTTCAGGAACTAAAAGATGATACATATCTCATTCTGAAAGAAGCTGACAAAGGCGGGACAATCGTTATAATGGATAAGGACTACAAATAAAAAAAAAGATGATAAAATACTCCCTCGGATAACCTAGGGTTATTCACGGCTAACACCACAATTTTAATATATTTCATCTGATATGTAGTCCAACGCTGTTATATCTGCTTCCGCAAATTTAAGTTTTTCCCTTAGCGAAATTTGAGCTGATGATTCAGTGGCAACCCTTTCCCAGCGTTTCAGACAACTTGGCAAAATAGGCTTAGTTAGCCGAGTGATCTGGAGCGCTCGCACCAATGCAGCCAGAAGCAACGATGTCACAGGAGCATAAGCTCAAATTTGCTGAGGGAAGAACAAAAATTATATCAAATGCTGCATATCTGTTTCTACAGTGAGAGTCTAAATTTCTCGTCCTTTATCCCATTCAACCCCTCTAGAAAACTTACATTGATTTGTTATTTAATTTGTTCTTGTCATGCATATGCATGAAAAATTTGCCACTGAACCTTAAGCAAACACGACTCAAGCTAAACATAAAAAAATAGTAAAATTCTTCGACAAGCCATAACATAGGACCTTTTAAGAGAAGTAGATGTTTTATTAGTTAGTATATAAATTTGCATTCATTATTGTTTGTAAACAATAATGGCATTTCGGTATCGATGATATGTATGAGTATGGTTGAAATAAAAGAATGATTATCCTGCAATAATCCTGTGACAATATACTTTAAATGGTGTTTGCAACATTCGAAATTCAAAAATGTATTTGATATTATGTATGTGCTTAGTTACAGTTTCATCATCTTTAATTTTGCTGCTGGTAGACATAATTCTGTGTTTACAGTTTATCTTTACTTTGTTTCTCTCAGCAGTCTCTTTTCACTGGAAATGCAATTAATATTTATCATTGCTGTTTTAAATTAAACGGGTATTCTCAATGCTTTACAAAAACAAGAGTGCACACGCTGAAATGTCTCGCCTTCTTTACTAATCATTGATATTATGTTGATAGTCCTAAATATAAAGCTTTATTACAACTGTCACATAAACTTAACATTAACCAAGTAAACTAAACATTGACCAATGAACCATGAAAATGAGGTCAAGGTCAGATGAACCATGCTAGGCAGGCATGTACAGCTAACAATTCTTCCATACAACAAATATAGTTGACCTATTGCTTATAGTTTAAGAAAAACAGACGAAAACACAAAAACTTAACACTGAGCAATGAACCTTGAAAATGAGGTCAAGGTCAAATAAAACCTGCGTGACTGACATATAGATCATAAAATATTTCCATACACCAAATATAGTTGAACTATTGCATATAGTATTAGAAAAAAAGACCAAAACTCAAAAACCTAACTTTGACCACTGAACCATGAAAATGAGGTCAAGGTAAGATGACACCTGCCAGCTAGACATGTACACCTTACAATCATTCCATACACCAAATATAGCTGACCTATTGCATGCAGTATTAGAAAAAAAGACCAAAACTCAAAAACTTAACTTTGACCACTGAACCATGAAAATGAGGTCAAGGTCAGATGACACCTGCCAGCTAGACATGTACACCTTACAATCATTCCATACACCAAATATAGTAGACCTATTGCATACAGTATAAGAAAAACAGACCAAAACACAAAAACTTAACTATAACCACTGAACCATGAAAATGAGGTCAAGGTCAGATGACACCTGCCAGTTGGACATGTACACCTTACAGTCCTTCCATACACCGAATATACTAGACCTATTGCTTATAGTATCTGAGATATGGACTTGACCACGAAAACTTAACCTTGTTCACTGATCCATGAAATGAGGTCGAGGTCAAGTGAAAACTGTCTGACGGGCATGAGGACCTTGCAAGGTACGCACATACCAAATATAGTTATCCTATTACTTATAATAAGAGAGAATTTAACATTACAAAAAATCTGAACTTTTTTTTCAAGTAGCCACTGAACCATGAAAATGAGGTCAAGGACATTGGACATGTGACTGACGGAAACTTCGTAACATGAGGCATCCATATACAAAGTATGAAGCATCCAGGTCTTCCATCTTCTAAAATATAAAGCTTTTAAGAAGTTAGCTAACGCCGCCGCCGCCGCCGCCGTAGCCGCCGCCGGATCGCTATCCCTATGTCGAGCTTTCTGCGACAAAAGTCGCAGGCTCGACAAAAACCCTGAAAAACTGCTTTTAAAAAACAAATTGAATACTAACATGTGAACTTTAAAAACATTGAAATTATAGTTATAATTCCTCGCACTTCAGCGTTACCACCAACGCACTTCAATGTCAAACAATCGCACTTCAGCGTGACCATCGCGGTTCGGAGTACCATCGCGGTTCAGAGTTCTACATATATATTTGATAAAAAACGGTTAATTTGAATGCAAAAATTGATAGTTATGAGACATGTTAAATTCGTTGCATGTTGATAAAAAGGTATGTTTCAGGAAAAGCTATATAATTATAATTTATTAATTTGTAGTGCTATGATACGAAGTTAAACTTATATTCCAACAATTATAAATAAAAACCATACGTAACTAAACAAAAATACTCAACATAAAGTATTAAAAGTATAATATGTAATTTTAGTTCCGAACAAAGTCGAATTACAAAAAGGTGATAATCATCATGAACACAGCATATATGTGAAAAGATATTTTCGTCTCCAAAACAGCGAAAGTCAGCGTAGAGTTAAATGGTAGCATTTGCTAATCACTTTTCAATTGTTTATGATACTAAAATCTGACAGTTACATGTTAAAGCACTGCAAAGCACTACAAACCAGAGAATAAATTAATCGGTTGTTGTACTTTTTATTTTTGCATTTTCCTGTGATGAGTTGCTGGAAAAGTCTGATGAGTTTAATCTTACTTTTAATTGAATTATCTCAGCGACTGAAAGACCTAATGAAATTATATGGATGTGATGATAGCGCATTTAGGAGGAAAAAAAACACTTTTTAAAAGTTAAGCAAGTTGGATAAAGGATATCACTATAGGTCATCGTACGACCTTCAACAACATCGTATAGTAAGCTATAAAAGTCTGTGTTGTGTGAATTATCTTCAAAATTATATGCATCTTTGGTAGGAGTTCCATATAGTCCGGTTTTTTTTTTTTTTTTGGGGGGGGGGGGGGGGGTTCATATGTGCATACGTACTCAGGCCGGTGAAGAGAATGTTCACGGGTCATTGATTGGTCATAAAGCCCGAAGTCCCATGCTGGTATTGAAGAATGCTTTAAAAGATACCAGACAAATAGAAAACCATTCGGATATGGATAACAAAGGAATGATATTCAACGAATGGCACAAGGACAACTATGGGAATACATTATATATGTGGCACTCCTGACTTTAGGGACACAAGCACTATGTGGTAATGTCCAAGGACTGTGCTGCAACCGAGAGATAAAGCAAACTACTAAAAATTAATTGAAACCATGGATCAGCAACACAACACATGTTTAAAAAAGTATAGAATTATGTACCTCAATGCCTATACGGTTTATTAAGGACAACATTGACCAAGTTTCTATTTTTATCACTCAATTTACAACCTGTCTGAAATAAAATGTATTTGATATGTTTATTTATTTTTAAATTTCTGAGTAGAACTGTACTTAAAAAGTTCTCACATACATGCAAGATTCTCTTGTTTCATTTTATGTTATGGTATACCGTGTTGTGAATATTTTGCATACAGACTCATAAAATCGTAACGGTAATTTTGCATCGAAGGACATTCATAATCCAAATTAATCAATTTTTATCTGAAATACAAAATATAGCTTTTAATTACTTACATATACTTGTAGTTTTTGATTAATATGTCCTTCTTATTCAATTTTGAGATCATTACTCAAAGTGTGCAAAATATACAAACACTGAGAAATCTTTAGGTCTGTCTACTTAGTTAGACAAATCAGGAAGTTACTACATGTATCCTAGATAAATTGAATACGTTATGCTTTCACATTACCTTTAATTTATCTAAATACACAAATATGAATGAATGGAGATTGATTGTTAAATATTGTAATGGTCTGATAAACTTGTTTTTAATGAATCAACAAGTGCACATTTTGAACTTCACTTATTTCACAAAAGCATAAAATATCATATAAAAAAAGAAAAGAAGAAGTTATTTATTTTGATAAAACTGATGATTATGATTTCTTAAAAAAACGTCTTTTTTATAAAGAAAGCCACATGTTCTTAAGATAAAGTATTTTCCGTGTTACTTTCGATTAAATTAGTTTGTTGATATTTCCCCTCATCTGTGTCAATCTTTATTGCACAGGTGTGTAGTTATCAAAACCTAGCAAAATTATTCGTTCAAACCAGTGCTAGGGGGTCGTCTTGAACATGCAGTTAGGTATGAGGTCATGCTTCGCGTTGAATACCTCGCGACTTTCAAGAGGCTTTGAGATGGAGAACATTAAAAAACGATGTTCATTTGGTTCGAGTTTGTCAAGTGCACAATTACTTTAAAAGATTGGGGGCATCAAAACCAACGGGGTTTAAACAGTTAATCCTAAACTGTCTATATAGTAAATTTGGTATAAACAGTACATCCTGATCTATCTATGACCAACTGGGTCTAAACTGTTAAACCATGAACCGTTTATGGTAATGTGGGTCTAAACAGTACATCCCTAACATCTATGGGCCTTCATGATGAAATCTTCATGATGAAATGTTTCTTTGAATGATCAATATACAACAAATGTATAAACTATCAAATATAAAATAATGTGGTATGATTGCCAATGAAACAACTCTCCATAAGAGACCAAATGACACAGAAATTAACAACTATAGGACACATCTCTTGGACCTAAAACCAACATTTTAATATTTAAATATACTTATATCTCAAAATTACTTACGTTTGCATATGTTAAATATCCCAAGTACAAGAAAAACTAGCACGACATTCAACCACAGTTTTAAAACACTTGTTTAATTTTAAAATAAAATGAAGTTATGAAAAGTTTAATTGATCAATATCAATTTAAATGATTTATTAAAACTTTACAGAAAGTTGTAACGTCATTTATCATCAATTGTCATTATTATGGTTTGTCATGTCCTGAGCAAGTACCTGTGAATAATTAATACTAAAATCACGGAATTCACTAAACGTTTACTTATTAATTTGGTTTTTCAATTTGTCAACAAATAATACGACTTAAATAATAATTGAATACAGACATTCCATTTTATACTTTCTGCAAAATATAAAACTAAATCCAGATACTACTTCATATTTTAAGATCATAGATAAACATGTATACATAACAATGAATAAAAAGAGATGCTGGTTAGACGTCAAAGAGACAGCAGCCCAACCGTAACAAACAACAAAAAGACAAAACGTCACTTATTTACTTCTGAATTCTTAATTTATAATCTATATACAAAAAAAAGATTATTTTTCCACCTCAAGCTTTCCGGGTCAACTTACTGCATTGCTGTTTGTCGTTCAGGAACTCGAAGTCAATGCACGTGACATATAGACTGATTATTTGGTTGGTGTTTAATGCCACTTTCAGCACTATTGTGCTATTTCGTGGGGGTCAGTTTTGATATATGGAAGAAGCCGGAGTGCCCGGAGAGAACCACAGAACTTCGGTAGGGAAACTGACAATCATAGTCAATCAAGATTTGAGTCGAGCTCACCTGCCACGTGTGGTATTCGAACTCAAAACCTCAGTGTTGACAGGCTAGTGATACAGTAGTTCGACTACTTAGACCACAATGTCACCGAGGCCCCTCGTGACCAATTAAAGTCTTGGATAAACTATTTCTATCGAAGTTCAGTTTGTTACCGTTTACAGTTTGTTTTCATTTACAGTTTTGATTTCTCTTCTTTATACCCTACATTATCACAAGCACGATACAATTACATTTCGATGGATTTTGAATGTTTGTATTTGTGATAGTTTTTATCATGTATAATAATTTCCTTTTTTTACTATTATAAGAAACATAAAAATATGCTAATTACAGTCATGCAAATAAATTAAGTTTTTCAATATTATGTTTTAATTGATACTATTTGTTTGGTTAGGTATCAAGATATGTCGAATATGCTTTTCCCGCTTGTAACCGATATGCAGCTTTGCATCTCGGTTAATGTGTAAATTTCATAAAACCAAACTGATAACACCAATTGACATATGTTTTGAAAAAAATTAGATGACATATCGAGCATAACTAATCCCGATTGTTGTGATTGATTAATTGTTACAGTTGTTTGGTTAACGTTCATTGGCAAATATGTAATGCATATTAATATTCAGGACGAAACGATTTAACAACAAAAGGGCGGGAATTGTGAACTGCAACTGATAGAAAAGGAAAGATGGATGGGGACAGAAATTTTGCCTCTCGACATGTTCTGGAAGACTACAAATAAAACAAAATTAATTGTCAAATTTAATTTTGAAAATTTGGTCGAATGGAATGGAAAGGCAAAATGAACTGTAAATGATAAAGGAAAACTTCTGACGAAACACAAAGTTGAACTTGGAGGTGACCTCTCAGAGAGCTTTTGGTAGGGGGCTTTAATGTTTAGAAAAAGTGACACTCTTCGTACAAGAGGCTTCTGTGGTCTCATGACACATTTCGTCTGTTCTTACCTGGATCAGTTTTGTGCAGATCTATCCTAGAACAGTTTCTGACAGGTCTATCCAAGAAGAGATTTTGACATTTCTACCCTAAAACAGATTCTAAAGTTTCGGACTGGTCTACATAAGAACAATTCTATGGTAGCACACTTTTAAGCAGTTCTATCACAGATTATTCTAACGAAGAGAGGTTAGTACGGATCCCAACTGTATTTATACAGCCCACACAACAAAACGGACGGTAGCACGGATCCCAACTGTATTTATACAGCCCACACAACAAAACGGACGGTAGCACGGATCCCAACTGTATTTATACAGCCCACACAACAAAACGGACGGTAACACTGATTTTCAGAAGGATGGAAGAAGTCTACGCGGTTATATTTCAACATCAAAACCTTTGAGTACGAATATTCTGAATATTCTGATATAACCTTGATATGAATTGTCTATGGGAAATATTATCCCAAGTAATGACAAGCATGATATCTTCTTTTTTGTAGTAAACTTTGAAAATTCCTTTTCCAGATGGTGATGCTCCGGCTCGTACCTCTTGTGTGTTTATTTCTCGGCTGGTTCTTTTTGCGATTGTTTGATGATGATGATGGATGGCTGCTTAACATTGTTTTTTTGACAATAGTGAAAAATTCTCAAATGCTTTGTGTACTGCATTTTACTGATTTAAAATTATTTGAATTGATTATAATATTCGTACAAACTGAGTCAACAGTCATGAATACATCAACAACTAACCGTGGATGCCAGTATATAAAAATAAGGAGATGTGGTATGATTGCCAATGAGACATTCATATGAGAAAACCCCATACCGTATAGTCGGCTATAAAAGGCCACGACATGAAAAATATGAAACATTTCAATTGAGAAAACTAACGGCCTAACTTACGTAAAGTCCTGAATTATTTTCAGTATTATTGATAGGAATCTGCTCTTCATCATCCAGAAACGATTAATATTTCTCATTTTTCATATTAGTAAAAAAAAAAAAAAACACAATGTTTTATTTTATGATTATGTCAATTTACTTAAAAACTAAAATAAGCATTTAGAGACCAAAAAAAATCAGAGATAAGAGGGATCTACGTACAATAAACATGTATCTGGAATCGACTATGTAGTTTCGTCTTAGATAGTGTACGAAGTATATGTTTTACAGTTATGACATTTATCCAAAATTTCAGAAAGTTACAAGAATGTGATTTTAAGATGTACATACCTTATTGTACATATCCTGTGTAAATATCCAATACTTATTTTTAACTCACCTGTTAAATGACTGATGGAATTTGTTTACCTGTTGTTCGAGGTCACGTGACGAGATACCCTTATTGATATCTATGATTTCAACGGGCCTAGTTTTCAAACTAGATGGAAGGTCTGACTAGTTAGGGAGCTACCATTTGATTTTTATGGGGGGGGGGGGGGGGGGGGGGGGGGGCTAGGATGAAATTTGAAAAAAATAGGCAGGATAGGAGTATTGAGTAAAAAAAAAGGCAGGATGAGATTATTTGCAAACAAAAAAAGGCAGGATGACAATTTTTTTTTAAAAATAAGTCAGGATAAACTAAAAAAAAAAGGCAGGACCGAATAGAGTGAAAAATAAAAAGGCAGGACCGAATAGAGGGAAAAATAAAAAGGCAGGACAAAATTTTTCATCCTAGCCCCCCATAGAATTCAAATGGTAGCTCCCTTAACAAAAATGTAAACATAAAAAATTGTGTTACAGGAGGCAATTTCTCTGTAGCTAAATTATTCAACAAAAATGCACGTGGATATCATCTAATATTCCCACAGTTAAATGTCAGAAAATGACAAAACTGTGCGGGTCATCAGTAGGCGGAAGAGATTTTTCTTTATTCTTTTCCTATGCCATTACTTAAAAAACCAAGAGCCTCATCTAAGTCTTAAGTTCGGATCCGGCCGGGTTCAAACTCACGACCTTCCGCATTCGAGGCGAACATGCAACCACGTGATCACCGAGGCGGTTACCAGTTTGTGAGTTTTTTCGGTGAGTTTGTGTTCTATATGACAATCGCCGCGATATAAAGCCTTTTTCTGCTGTTGCGGCGTAAAGCAATCAGCAATCAATCAATCTATATGAAATGATCAGTCGTCGATCACTGCCTGTCGTTTCGGCATCTTAGACAGTTTACGGAACAGAACACGCTGTAATCATTTTCCATTACAACAACGTACATCAAATGAGCGGACATTTACTGTCAATTCAAGAGTCACAAACCCGTTGCGCTGCAGCAGTCGTTTTAAGGGCATACGATACAGTTTTGATCCCACGGTGATTTTTTACGAAAATTTGCATATA